AGGACGGTCTACTAAATAATAAAAAATAAATATGTGCATTGTTTTCACTTCGCACTCTTTTCTTAAATAAATAACTATATATGCATGTATGTAACTATGTATATACAATTGTTTTAATTTATTGTTACAGTGCTAGTTGATTGTTATAAAAAGGCACAGTTCGATCCTTCTCATTGAATTTTTCACAAGGACCTCTTGAATAATCATAAAGTTCTGATGCCACACACAACACACACACACACACACACACACATGTCTTACCAGTAATTTATAACTTACATCTTTATTTAAAACTGAATATAATGCAGTTTGTACTAAAGGTGTAGTTTTTAGCTTGCTTGAGGACTATTTAGGGCTAAAACAACGTTTGGTATTATTGCAAACCAAATCAAATATTTAAAAATGTTCAAGTGTTGGTTGTTGGGTTTGCTTATGAAGATATTGGAATCAAAATATAGGTTGAGACAACATTGTTTTTATACACAATGATGTCGCGAACAATAACAATAGTTGACCAAATGTGAATTATTGATTTCATGTTTTGTATTTCGATTTAATGCGAAGAAACGCGACGAAACACAAAAAAAGCAGTGAAAAATAACAACATTTGGAGAGCTCGAATAGTCATATGTACATATTTTCATTTTTGAATATGTAAATAGCAATAAAATGTAACTAACAATCTAAATGTTTATTCTTGTAAATTATGTATTAATTTAAAGTATGTAATACAGAACGCAATCGTTAGAACAACATTGTGATATTTTTCTCCCTCAGAACTCACGCGTCTCATCAATGGTCCCAGTTCATAGGTACATGACCTGGTGTTCAACTTTAGAGGTATTACTGTACTATATGCCGACTGTCTTTTTCAATTAAAACGCAAATGCCCACGCACCGAGCTCGACAGAGCGGCGTGTTATATGCAAATGCAGATTTTAAGCCTTGCGGCAGCTTTCGCAAACAGATTGTAAACAAATAAATGCCGTCAGCCGCCAGGCAAACACACAGACGCACACACATTCTGAGCCCATTGACTGGTTGACCAGCGTGCTACAAATGGTTGCCAATTTATGCGAAGCTGCTGGACGCTGTTAACAAACAGTTGGACTGTTGAGCTGGGCTGGGCAACCACAACGCAGTTGCCAACTCATATTTTACTTTTTATATATCGCATTTGCGCCTGGCAACGTTTTTCACACTTAAGTGGTTAAATTGGCTGTGATAAATTGTTAGGCAGTCAATGTCAAAGTTTGCGATTGTGGAGGTGACATGCAAAAGCCCCATACGAGCGTAAGATATTGCGCCCTACTCTATGCTACATATGCTCTTATTCATAGAGATTCTCGGAGTGTGTGAGTGTGTGTGTGTGTGACAGTAATCATAACACACACATAAGCTTGTATTATTACAGCTGCGTGACATATGACAACTGGGAATTAATATGTGTCCATGTGTGTGTGTGTGTGTGTGTGTGTGTGTGTGTGTGTGTGTGTGTGTGTGTGTGTGTGTGTGCGTTAAAGCAGCAGCAGAAGTCAATGTCATAATATGAGTTGTCTGCCTGTCTGTGCCTGATGGCAACCTTTTAACTGCAAGAAATGAGCTCCGAATGAGCCATGAGTAGTTAGTGCGCTTAATGAAATGTCTAGCCAAATGTATTTAAGCCATGGCTGCCACTTTATCTTCGTTACTTGCTTACTTACTTACTTACTTACACTTGACAGATATTAAAGTTGTGCATCAATTAGTGGCACAGTTGCTGCAACGCCGCAACGTCCGTAAAGTGCGCGACTATATAGTATAGTATACCCAACTAGGCAATGTCAGCAAATTTTCGCCCGTATCGCGCCATTGGTATCAGACAGTGTTGATGTGCATATCATTTTTATGGGCATTTCATGCAAAATGCTTCACTTTGGCGGCAGAACCAGGAACAACAACAATAACCACATATACGAATACTCGTTGTGACGCTGTTGACTATAACTGTGACGGCAAGGACGTGGCCAGGCTGCACTCTGCGCTACTATTACATTACAGGGAGTATTTATATATTTCAAATCATAATATTAACGCTATTTATTTTGTAATAAATACGATTATTGTTGCCCTATATAGTGTAGATCATCAAGAGTACTTAACACTTCAAACAACATCTCTTTATAGGTAAGCCCTACAAATTACACTTGATTATTTTGTTGTCTTACCTGATGTTTAGATTAGAACAAATATCCTCCACAATCTTTCAACTATAAGCTATTTTTCAATTATGTAAAGTTAAGAGTATATTGCCAAATTACTTAAAATTAAACTTCCTTCAGCGATTTATCTGAAAACACTTTTTATTTCATTTAAAGCTGTTAAAAAAGCTGCAAATATTGTAAATGATATTTTAAGAAATTTTTAATACATATACATATAATATATAATTTTTAAAGCATTTTCTTGCAACTGAAGTATTATTATTTTAAGCCATATACACAATTTACAAAATTACTGAAAATTATAGCTTGCATTTTTTAAAAGTATTGCATTGCATAATTCAAAAGTATTCCAGTTGTTTCTACAGAGCTAATTAAACATTTCTAATGTTCACCAGAAAGCCTCTGCACAATAGCAACAAAGTTTTCTACAAAATATTTGTAGCTCATCTCTAGTTCGTTGTCGCCGTGTCTTAATAAATCCATATTTTTTTGTCTGTGCGTCTAACTTGCCGGCTGACCGAGTGCATTTGCAATTTATAAGCGTATACGGATCTACAAACATACATACATCTACATTCTCGCATCTACTGTTTTTTGTTGTTGTTTTTTTGTACTTGTAACTACAAAATTTTTTCAACACTCTGCGCTCTGCTGTCAGCGCCATCGTCAACGTTGTTGCTTGGCAAAACGAAACAATGGAAATGTAAATTGTTTTTATGTCTTTGTTTTAATTTTTGCGGCACAACACAACAACGTATATATATGCGTATGTATGTACTTGTATGTGTGTGTGAGTGTGAATGTGTTTTTGAGTGTGATTTCAGAAACAAATGCATATTCGGCAGGCTTGTGCAAGGATTTTTGCGCTGTTGTTTCATTTTTTGCGTAGCACACAAGCCACATGCAACAAAAGCAACACAAGTAACTACAGCAACAAGAACAGTAAGTCTATACTATGGATGGCAGTCGGGCAACAGAGTCTGAGTCTCGATGTTCGCTTAGTTTTCATTGTCGCCGGCATCGTGTCGTTGTCGCAATTTTTTGTTAATTTGCATACGTGCGACTTGCCGGAGACGTGTTGCTGGCCATGCCGCAATGTCGAGGTGGACGTGGCCGTTGCACCCGCCAACTTGTTCATGACATTGACGTATTTATATGAGCCACTGGAGACCGTACCCGAATACAATCTACAACTCCAGTTCAACGACACCACGTAGCCACAATAAAAGCTTCATTAGCTGCCATCAGGATGGCCTGCTTAGAAATGTAGACAACACATGAAATGGTCTAGAAAAAATAAATTGAAGCTGGAATTGTTTAACATGCGTGTCATTAAATTTTCATCAGCCACCACAAAATGAAAATTGTAGCCATGGCCTAAGAGGCAACCAACTGTACGACGGAACTGTAAACGGTTGTAACTGAAGTCCAAGCCCCACAGCAAGCTCTGCCACAAATCCCAAAACCCCCGCGGGCCAGACAAATGGCAAAGGATGCTTATACTCCCCCACAACCGGGGGACTGTGGCATCTGCTGATATTGTCATTACATGCTTCAAGGATATTTCTGTGGCGTAACCAAGGCAAATGTACTTTTGACAGTTGAAACCGAAGACAAAAGCGGCCACTTGAAAGGGTTGGCCGGCCTGTGATGGTCAGAAAACTGAAATGAATGAAAATAAAATGTAAAATGCAAAACTTTGAGATTTGATGTGGCCAGGAAATAGCAACAGCTGCTCCTGTGTTTATATGCGAATGCCGCGGGACTAGTTAAACCCGACCTTCTCCCGACTCCTCCTCAAAAACTTGACCAAACTGTTTCGTTCAATTGTTTTAAAATGTTTTTCATTCACTTCAGGCATTACTATAGTTGCTTAAATATTTATGACGACTTATAACTTAGCTTATTATTGTAAACATGCCCAGAGTGTATGTATCATATGGATGACGTCACCACCCACACACACACAAATAAACACCACACCCTCGTTGTGTGTATTGGGAATTTTTGTCTTGGCCAATCAAGTGACTTCTTAGCCAAAAAAAAATTTGTAACAAGCATTCACGTTAATACTAAACTATAAGAAAGCGCCAATAAAAATTAAAAGTGGTCAGAAATTTCAACACTTGTTGCCAGAAGTTGTTTAGTCATTGTCTGTCAAATGCCGTAGGTACATGGTAATAACATACTTAGCTTAATATGCCAACTTTTTTAACTTCCTCGTGCCTCGATGCCTTGGCAACATGTTGCTGCAACATTGTGGAACCCATGTTTTGACTGACTAGCGCTTCGGTGTTGCTCAACATGTGGCCAAATTTGTGGACTGAAGATTGCTCGACAACCACAAATTTCATTAGTTTGCAATTGTTTGGTTATTTTGCACTGTATTTAGCATGCAATGGAAGAGTGTCCTCCTCTGACCGAGAAGAGCTTCTTCTTAACGTACTATTATAATTTTTTTCTCTGAATCATTCTTTTTTAAGAGCAGGGCTATACTTACTTTCTAAAAACAAAACGAAGATGAAAATGTGTTACTCAAATTATATTTTTAGATATTTTTTACCATTCACTAAAAGGAAACAGAGTATATTTTTTGTATATCCCAAGACATACATACATATGTATGCCATTAATAAAGTTATGGGCTAGTGAATGGAGCTAATTGAATGGAGCTAATGGATAAAGCTAGGTATGTTGTAGTCCACCTTCAATAAAAAAAAACAAAAAACAAACAGGTATCTAAGTGCCTCTAAAATCAACATGCCGGCTTATACCGATAATTAGCAATTTGTGTTAAGCAGTTATAATATCACTACAATTTTGTTGTTAATATCCTTTAAATTTTCAGTGTCCTCTAAGAAGGTGCCACATTATTGGTGTCGATGCGCCTTCGCATACCCAGTTGGAAACCCGTTTTCGAGCTCATCACTATATTGATCACGGGCATTACTTCCTCACCCAAAGGCAGCAGCTCAAACTCACGTACAATCTTGGCCAGCATGACTTTCATTTCCAATAGGGCGAATTTCTGCCCGATACAGTTGCGTGGACCAGCACTGAAGGGTATCATGGCATAGGCACTTGAGGGTGCACCGTCCTCATGACGCTCAGGGCGAAACTTGTTAGGTTCTGGAAACTGCTCTGCATCGTTCAATGATCCCATTATGCCTATGATGATTTCCGTACCCGCTGGTACGACACCATCGCCATACTTGGAATGGGCTGCAGAAAAAAAAGTAAAGTAATTACCGTACCCAAACCATTTATTTTTGGCACTTACTGTACTTAAAATCTTCCTGTAATTTGCGACCAATCAATGGAATGGGTGGATACGTTCGCAATGACTCCTTTATAACGCTCTCCATGTACTTAAGGTCGGTCAGGTCTCGCATTGTTATAGGCCGTTTGTTATCTGAGCCCAACACTTCGCATACTTCTGCCAGCAGTTTCTCCTGTACTTCGGGATGGCGCGAGAGGAGGACGAGGGTAAAGCATATAGCTGATGTAGTCGTGTCATGACCCTCGAACATGAAAGTGTCGACTTCCTCACGTATCTCTGCATTCGTCAATTGCTTGCCATCGACGGTGGCCTGCAGGAGTACATCTAAAAGGGCCATACGTTGCTTAGCGCCCACATCATTATATGCATTAACCTGCCCCTGGCGCTGCCTAGCTTCCAGTGCACTTCGACGCTGCTCGATTACCTTGTTGGTGAACTCATGCATAATTCCTATTAGTTTCTTTTGGCGTAGCTTCAAGTGGGGTTGTGTCAGCGTAAAGATGACCTCGTTCTGTAGGAAAATGTTTAGCAAACGCCAAGCAAGGAGCTCGGTGCACCTGTAAGATAAGATTGGAAACTTCTTGATCAAAATTGTATGCTAGATTGGAATGAAATATTAATTAATTGCTGCTATAGGAACGATATTAAACATGTTACATAAAAACATGAATGTACATTTGAAAATGTATAGACAGAAGCCTCGTCGGACCACCACAATTAAGATCAATTTTCATACGTTCATAGTGTATGATGCGATGGAGCCAATGGTCATGAATCGAAAATTCAATTTATTTTTCCAAAGCGTATGAAAAAACGATCCTTTAAATTGTAAGCATAGCAGAGAAAATTTTTTTATAAAAAATAATATTCGTAAAAGGATCTATTCTTTCTATCCTTCTCGACTACATACGAGTACAATATAAATTAGTCACTTACTCATTCACTGCCTTTGCATAAGGAGTGCTCTCTGCTGTTTGTGCGTAGACTTTTGTGCCCATAGCTGTCTCCGCTATAATGTCCAGAGCAGCCAGACATATATAAGGATGAACATTGAAGGCAGTGAGACCATCTGCACGCTCTGCCAAACGCTCAATACACGTTGACGACTGTTGATCGAAGACTTCCACAAACTGCTCAAGTATCTTGAAGTGGAAGGTAGGCGTTATTATTTTCCGACGCTGATGCCATGTCCGTCCATCACTCAACAGTAATCCATTACCCAGCCACTGTGCAAGCGTCTTGTACACAGGATGCTTGACCAAGTGCGTCTGGCTGGAGAGCAACTGTTCGCTTAACTCCACATCAACACTGAAGATCAGCAGACGATGGAAGATCCACACCTTTACGATACGTCCATATTTACTTACATGTTTTCGACTAATATCAAAGAAGTCTGCGAATAAACCGGACTCTTAAAATACTCTCTTATGATATAAAAGAAATAAAGAAGGCTTCTAATTAAATTCACCTCTAATTTCTTGATAACTTCTTAGTAAAAAGAGGTTCTCCTGTGGGTATTTGCGTCATTCGAATTAATCTGACCCGTTACCGCATTCTCAATTTTAGAATTACAATTGAATAATTCAATTTTTAAAGTATTGCAGTATATATGGAAAATAAATTCGAGATAAATTTAAAATTAGAAATTTCAGATTGATTATTTGATTTTTTCGAATTAATATTGATTCCTAGTTCTAACACCGAAAACAGAATATTAAAATGTAATCTAAATCTATATATATGTATGTATATAATAAAGATTTCCTGACTAATCAACAACTACAGTGAATGAAAAGAGCCAGGGAGCTCAAATTTAGACACAAACCGTAAACAAAATATATATCTGACCGATATCCAAACAAAACTATTTGCCACACGGAACATTTCAAAATCACACAAACAAAATAAAACAGTTGCATAGGGACTTTTTCTGTTAATCTACTCACTTTTTTGGTTGGCAGTTAAGATTAAATGAACCGGTCCGATTAACGGAAGACAGTAAGGTCCGGGGAGATTGGCCACAGCATCGCGACGTTGTTTTTGGTTTCGATGCGATAATAATATTGCAGAAAGTAATAGAACAATTATGAGAAGCAACCACATATCGCAGTACACACGCAGACTTCAATGTCGATTCAAGGCTGATCGACTATTGTAAGCTCCGTGCAGTGTTCATTGTATATAACCAGCTGCGATATATCTAATCGTACTTGAATTCATTTTTTAAAGCTAATCGCGTGAGAACTGTTGGATTGAAGGGGAATATTGCTTGCATTGATAAGCGCCAACAATCCACCGGCAAGCACTTTCGGCGATTTGCTTATCAGTGCTGTTCTATTTTCAGCAAACAATGGAAAGCTCAAAAATATTTGCCCTGCATTGCCGTAATTGTTTTTAATTCAGTGCGTTGCCTGGCCCTGGAACGGGGCAACTTTTTTCAAGTAATTTCCGCTAGAGACACTCGTGCGGAAATTAAAACATTTGCCCCCCAATGAGTGAGTGAGTGTCGAGTTCAGTTGCCCCTTGGCCTGCAAACGGATAGAATGAGTGGATGAATGCTACACAACGCTGCGCTCAAAAAAACTAATTAACAGTAGCTTCCTGGACTGGTCACTGGACACAGGCAGGGATATTCCATCAGTTGACAAAGTGGCAGTCACAGCCAGGGCCACTTTGAGTTTGTAATGGATTTTATCATATTGTTTTTAATAGGAAAATATATATAGACTTACCAATCTATATGATCGTATGTCTGCATTGCAGTGACATGCAAAAAGTGTTTCCAATTGTAGATGCAACGAGCATTTTCAATTTTCGCAATGACTGTTTTAAATAAAGCGACCCATACACAGTTTTATGTTTGGGCCAACAGAAAGACTTTCCACATTAATTTTGCATATTAAAAATGCAATTTGTAGCGTTAATTGCAACATGCGAAATGTATCAGACAATGCCAGTGATATGGTCCAGACGCATACATGCATTTAAGCCGACAGGCGGGTCGACAGACACACAGAATGCAGACAAGTCACGTTGATAGGCGTTGGTCCAACGATGCGAATGCGTAATGTGCTCGTGTGTAGGGAGTTGGGTAAGGTGGTACGTTTGAAGTGAAGAGAGGCCCCCTTTTAGCTCTGTGGACTGTTCAACCACGTGACCGATTCCAATTGGGAATTTCAAACATGCTTTTTTTACGCCAAATATTGATGCAAAAGAAGAAGTCAAATATCAGATTTCTCTAATTTAATTTCTTATTTTATTTTATTTTTATTTTATTCTACTCAGAATATCAACAATATTTCTGTCGATTATATTATAAAACTTAATATAACAATTTAAGCTAAACTTAAAAGATAAGAAAGCCTAACAAAAGCACAAAATCAGAAAAAATACTATTTTGCGGGTATATAGTACCTTTAATCAGAACTTAAAAGCCCTGCAGCTTGCTTAATATTTTAAAATTAAATAAGCTTGTATGCTAATGACTATGCCTAAGTGCAGCACAGAGTTGAACGAAAGCTGCAACAACAGTTGTCAGAAGTGCACGGACAGAGATTAAATGTAAGGCTAAAACTTGTCTTAAAATGTACTTATCGCAGCGAAACTTTAAATAAGGACGCAAATCCACTGAAAGAATGTACATGTTAAATTTTGTTTCAACGGAGCAGGGAGGGCTGCTTAAAAAACAAACTTGTCCTGCTTATTTCGGTGGTACTCGCTCCGTACGAAAATAATATACTCTTTTCACTGTGGTCTAAGCCTTTGAGAATCAGAAGTTTGGTTAGTTCATTACTTTGAGAATGAAAGGGTTTGACCACGACTAAAAGGATAAATTGCTGCTGACCTTGCCGCTAAGCAAGTAAATTCCGCTTTGATTGTACTTGACAGTTTCAACAAAAAACCAAAGATAACTTAATATCGCGTTTGTTTTAAAAAATCCGATTCCTATAAGTCCAGAAAAAATCGCTGCATTTTTAATTCTTCAAAAATACATACATTTTTCTCAATATCTAATACTTCAAGTTGAATCGCATATTTATAGATTAAGTTATCTCGTAATGAAGATAAATTAGAACAAGTAAAAAAGCTAAAGTCGGGTGTCCCGACTTTGAAATACTCTGTACATATGTTTACAATAATTATAGAAAATAAACAAGTAAAAAAGCTAAAGTCGGGTGTCCCGACTTTGAAATACTCTGTACATATGTTTACAATAATTATAAAAAATAAAAAAAAAAAATAAATAAAAAAAAAATTGGATCGATTTTACCTCTCTCGGTATTCGAACTCACGTAAAGGGTGTATAATTGCACATTTACATAGCAATTGCGTCTGTGTGAGTGTATGTATGCCTATGCGCATCAATTCGTGTCTGTGTAAGCATTTTCGCAGTCAACCAAACAGCAACATCAACAACAGCCGCGGGCAGCGCTGCAGCAGCGCTGCAGCAGCAAATATATTTATGGCTATAACTTCTTGGTAAATCGGTCTATCATAGTGAAACTTGGCATACGGACACATAATTACTAACTGGGGGTATTTGCAAAATTTTAGTTCGAAATTCCAAGAATTACGGGAGTTAGAGAAAATCGCATTTGCGGGGGAGAGGGGGGAGGGAGGGAAATTCCAAAATATACATTTTCTGCGTATTCACACAAGGCATCTTGGACTAAAATTTGGTGTGCCTAGGTCTTATAGTCTCCGAGATATAGGCGATTATACGAATGGAAAATCGGGAAAACCCCCATAGGGGGGAAGTGGGGGGGAAAATCAAAAAAATAAAACAAACTCGTATAGAATATACACATAACGCATCTTCGTGCAAAATTTGGTGTCTCTATCTCTTATAGTCTCTGAGATCCAGGTGTTCATACGGACGGACAGACGGACAGACGGACAGACGGACAGACAGACAGACAGGGCTAGATCGACTCGTCTTGTCACGCTGATCAATAATATATATACTTTGTGGGGTCTGCCACGCCTCCTTCTGCCTGTTACATTTTTCAGCTCCCGCAAACCTAATATACTCTTGTACATTTCATGTACAGAGTATAAAAAAATTAAGAAAATAAAAAAAAAAATTTGATCGATTTTACCTCTCTCGGTATTCGAACTCACGTAAAGGGTGTATAATTGCACATTTACATAGCAATTGCGTCTGTGTGAGTGTATGTATGCCTATGCGCATTAATTCGTGTCTGTGTAAGCATTTTCGCAGTCAACCAAACAGCAACATCAACAACAGCCGCGGGCAGCGCTTGAGCAGCGCTGCAGCAGCGCTGCATCAGCAAATATATTTATGGCTATAACTTCTTGTTAAATCGGTCTATCATAATGAAATTTGGCATACGGACATATAATAACTAACTGGGGGTATTTCCAAAATTTTAGTTCGAAATTCCAAGAATTACGGGAGTTACGATTTGCGGGGTAGAGGGGGGAGGGAGGGGAATTCCAAAATATACATTTTCTGCGTATTCACATAAGGCATCTGGGACTAAAATTTGGTGTTCCTAGGTCTTATAGTCTCCGAGATATAGGCGATTATACGAATGGAAAATCGGGAAAACCCCCATAGGGGGGAAGTGGGGGGGAAAATCAAAAAAATAAAACAAACTCGTATAGAATACACACATAACGCATCTTCGTGCAAAATTTGGTGTCTCTATCTCTTATAGTCTCTGAGATCCAGGTGTTCATACGGACGGACAGACGGACAGACGGACAGACGGACAGACGGACAGACAGACAGACAGGGCTAGATCGACTCGTCTCGTCATGCTGATCAAGAATATATATACTTTGTGGGGTCTGCCACGCCTCCTTCTGCCTGTTACATTTTTCAGCTCCCGCAAACCTAATATACTCTTGTACATTTCATGTACAGAGTATAAAAATAACTGTTATGATGTGTTTTATTTTAAATAATTTTGTCATGTCACAAAGGCTTTTCCTTGCTCTTTTACTCTCTTCTAATCGCTTGATATCATTTCCTGATAAGACTTACGTAATAAATAGTGACTTTTATTCTTCCTGCTGGCATCGCATTAAATACATTCGCTATAATATAAATATTGAATTGTTATTATAAACCGATTTGATTCCAGTTTTCAACATGCATATAAACATTTGTATGCATTCTTTCAGCTTTGTGCTGGTTATTTACATACTTTGCTACTCTAAGCCAACACTACGTAGAGCTTGTTGGTTGCATAGTAAGTATATTTTTTCCTGGACGCTAAATTTTATCTTTGCCTTTTGCAGCTTTGCCATTTTGCGGTTTAAAAAGCCATTAAAAAATGTAATTATGTTGATAAATACGCCTTACTTGGCATTTTGCATTTTTATTTTGCTAACTTCCTTTTGACGTCGTCGCCATCGCCATCGCTGTGGCAGTCATGGTGAGACTGTTGCCATCCCGCCACTCAACTTTGGCCGCAACGGCCCATCAGAAATAACAAGAATAACAACAACAAGGTCTATATCAACAGCTGGCCAGTTTACTGGCAGGGCAGCGCTTTCTTTACTTTTTTTTGTAGCCTTTTTGCCAACAATTTACTCGCCATGGTCGGGCAAATATTTTACCATTCAGCCTTTTTGCGGGCCCTCGAGTGGCGGCCACTGTTGCATATACGAGTAATCGCAGTTTATGTTTATGACTACCTCTTTGTTCTACTCAACGCTGCCGCAAATTGTTGCCCTTATTTTCAGATCCTTTTTCAATTTATAGCTCACACTTTTACGATATTAACACGAACAATTTGCACTGAGCTGCAATCATTTCCAATGTGAAAAGCAAATGAATTTTCACAATTTCTGCCAAATAATTTGATTCCGCTGGGCTTTTCTTATAACGTTTGGCCATTAATATGATAGCATCTCATGGCCAACAGCCATTCACGATGCAAATTGTAAAAAACTTATATTTTTCTATTGGGTGGAATTGAACTTTTCCATTGACTACGCAAAGGCTGACTTAATGATGCTGCAAAAATTCGATTTCAATTTCAAGATTATGCCCAATGAATGGAATTACACTCTTGTCTCTATGCATAATTTATGACGGGCAAGACAGAGACGCAAAAAGAAAAGCTTATTAGTTCATAAAACTGCAGCAGTTGATGTGACCAGAATGGGGAGGGGGGATGAGAGTACGGTATTCTCCTCCCGTGCTGTCGAAGGAAGCGCTTGCCGCTCGCTTGCCATGCGAGTCACGTAGCGCTGATGTCCGATTTTTAAGTTTGCGCTGCACAAATCACGTATCCCACCCGTTGAGCCGTGATTCCAGAAAGAGTGGCAGACGAGCTGAATGGGAAAAGATGAAGCACGGACTCAAAATGGTATTAACACAACGCCAGTGCCATGGCCCAGAGCAAGCTAATGTTGTACTTATGGCTATTTGTAGTGCACTTTCTGTGGATTTTTATGATTTGTTTACGCAAACGAAACAAAAGCCGACTATAAAGCTAGACATACACTAAGAAAAAATGCAATTGAAAAATAATCAAACCACAGCATAACGTTTAAAAAAAATTGTTGTTAATTAGACCAAGAAGTTAATGGAAAATACGAGATAATGCTACAGTCGAGCAAGCCTGACACTGAAATACTCTATACATATATACTCTATACAAACTTCGCGCGCTAAGCTATATGCGCCCATTTCAAAAGCAAAAAGAAAAAGAAGAGCGAACACCCTCCGGCAGCTTTTGAGTGTAGCACTGAAGTGAAATTGATTCGCTACACTCAAATAAAAAATTATTTAAATCAAATATAAACAACGTAAATTTACTTAAAACAAATTTAATTACTATTTAAATATGAATAGTATTCAAAACAAACAGTAGATCTTTGTTATAAAAGTGTGTTAATGTTGAACCATATTAAATTTTATAAGGCACCTTCTTCAAATAACTTATAAAAATTGTAATATTTTTTTCAACTTTGATTCACAGTTTTTTGTAGTGGACTTAAATACACTAGGTAAAATATAAATTTAAAAGAGAAACAAAAAAATATTAATTGAAAAAATTTAATTAATTTAAATAATTAGAAAAAATGAACAAACTCGTAATTTCCCGGGCTCAGGAGAATCTGGATACCAAGTTTGGTTATTATAGCTCTTATACTTTCTGAGATCCTTGCGTCCATACAGACAGACAGACGGACATGGCTATATCGACTCGGCTTGTCATGCTGATCAAGAATATATATACTTTGTGGGGCCTGCCACGCCTCCTTCTGTGTGTTCCATGTACACTCGCACAAAACTAATATACCCTTTTACCCTTTGGTACAGGGTATAATAACTTGTATACACAAAACATCAAACCATCTATTAAAATAACGGGAATATCAAATACAAATTTTGCACATACATATATCAATTTTACTGAGGTATTTACTCGAATGTTTCAATCTTACCGTATTTGACATACTTGTACTCAATATGTACATATGTCTGTCCGTCCGTATGAAAACATGAATATCAGAAATAATGAGAGCTTAGAGATACAAAGTTTTATTTTTTTTTTTTTTTTGCCTTAAATATGTACGCACTCTGAGTTTATTCAGAGACTATGCAGACTTCTAAGAGCAGGCAGAACAAATGCATTTCAAAATGTTTGCGTTTTATCGAAGAAATATGGAGAACACTACGTACTGAAAGCACCAATCAAGGCAAAATAAGTACCAGCACAAATAGGAAGTTTATTTTATAAACATTAATATAAAACTACACACTACAAGTCGAGCGAGTCCTCCTCTTCGGATTAAACCGTGACTCTTCACAATCTCTCTTGTGATATTTTCTGTGTATGTATGTGAATGTATTAGATCCAAACAGACCAACTGTAACTCCATACTCAGTCCATGCGACTTAAACAGGAAGAGTAGCACCGAGTCTAATCAAACGTAACAAAAATGTAATGTATATAATAACTGTATAAATTCGCATTTAATATTTGATGAAATTTGGATCTGTAGCGAACTAAGCTCTTTCCAAACTCAAATCACTTGTTTGGAGTCGAAAACAACAAACGCAATGTTGGGCTCCAATATTAAATTGCTCGCGATGTTAACGATTTTCATTGTCTCATGGTCCGCGCTGATTTTACTCTATTCTGTTTGGTATTTGTACGCACCTTTCACAGACAAAACTATCGACCTGGATCCAATATTTCAACCTTACGGCAGAGCACAGGATATCGTACTACCTAATTTTCCACCTCCTCCAAGTGAAGAGAAACGGGATTGGCACGATTATTTGGCCATGAAACGCGATGCCAAGCGTGTGGGCCTTGGTGAACATGGAGAGGCAGCCAAATTGAATAATTCGATGGGCGGCTTGCAGCTTAAGCTGTATAGGAAATACGGTTTCGATGCGCTGCTCTCCGACTCTATATCTGTGAATCGCTCGTTGCCCGATGCACGGCTTTTGACGTGAGTTTGTCAGATCCAAAAACGTCAAAACGCAATAACCAATTTCAATTTCCCACAGCTGCAAAAAGAAACTGTATCTGAGTGTACTACCAATGGCGAGCATCATTATAATTTTCTTTAACGAGTATTTGAGTGTGCTGCAGCGCTCTGTGCATAGTGTAATTAATCGCTCACCACCTGAGTTGATTAAAGAGGTTATATTGGTGGACGACTACAGTGATCGTGATCATCTCCACAAGCCGCTAGAGGACTATATAGCCGGCCATTTTACAAATGTGCGGATTATTCGACAACCTCGACGAATGGGTCTGATGGCTGCCCGAACTGCAGGTGCACGGAATGCGACCGCGGAGATTCTGGTCTTTCTGGACTCCCACATCGAAGCCAATCACAATTGGTTGCCACCATTGTTGGAGCCTATTGCACTAAATAAGCGAATAGTCGTTACTCCCTCTATTAATGCAATTAGTTTTAACAGTTTCAGTGTAGGTAAAAAAAAAACTTACAGGCGTGATGGCTTCATGTGGAATCTTGTGTATATGGATCTACCACGGCTACCCGAAGACTTGAAGTTTCCGGACAAGCCTTTTAAAAGTCCTATTATGATGGGTGGACTATTCGCTTTAGCGTCACAGTTCTTTTGGGAGTTGGGAGGATACGACGAGGGGCTGGATATTTATGGTGGCGAACAATATGAGTTAAGTTTCAAAATATGGATGTGTGGAGGCGAGTTGTATAATGTGCCTTGTTCACATGTTGCACACATCTATAACCGGAATAAAAAAAACTATAAGCTACCAGTTGCACGATCGAATTATTTCAGAAAGGTAAGCTCGAATAAATTGATGATGATATGATAACAATCATGTCTTCCGTCCTTACTGCTCTTTACGGAAATATTTTATGTTATTGTAGCTCCTATACTACATGACCATGGTCCGTGAAGTAGATTTACAATTTTATTGTACACTTGGTCATCTACCATTTGCGTCACACGAAGTTTGCTGTAAAGCCATTTGCTTTAAGAATATCAGCCTGCCCGCATATTTCAAATGTATAAAAGAACATTGTATGGTGGTCTCTGAATTTTATTTATTTATAATATTATCATTTATTATTTTATTGATGTATGAAATTTGATCAATTTTCACAGAATATGAAACGGATGGCACAAGTGTGGATGGATGATTTCAAACAATTTGTTCAAAAACCACTTCATAATGTCAACGCGGGTGATCTCACCAAACAAAAAGCGCTGCGATCTAAATTAAAGTGCAAATCCTTCAAGTGGTATTTAAAAAATGTGGCATTTGATATTGTAGACAGATTTCCACCATATATATATGCCTCCGGTGCCATACAAAATTTGGGAAATGTCAATATGTGGTAAGACCTCCGACATATTTCGTTTACGCCATATGCTCAATCGATGTTGATTTTTCACAGTGTGGACGTGCTTGGAAATGATACTTTGAAGCCTATTGGCCTACATCATTGTGCCAGAAACTTGATTCGCCCCAAACAGTCGCAATTTTGGGTACTCAGCCCCCGTAAAGAATTGCGCTTACAATTGCAAAACAAATATACAAAATGCCTAGAGGTCCATACATTGAAACGTAATGCTCCAGTGTGGCAAAGTCCATGTCACAGAAATGGGGGAAATCAGTACTGGAACTACGATTACAAGACCGGACTTCTACAGTATCGTAAAGAGGGTGAACGTTGCCTGGAGATGTTGCCGCTGAAAAAAACGGTGGTCGTCAATGCGTGCAACAAAAGCAATATGTACATGCAATGGAACATCGGATTTGTTAATCGGAAAGCGCTTAAAAATATCGAAAGTTTGTGAAATTTGTTGAAGGGCGTTTCATAACTAAGATTTTAGAACAGTTATAGAAAATCACGATGGAAATGCAAGAATCTGGCGAGCTCAACTCTTAATTAAAAGCTTCTGATAAAAGCTTCCCTTTTCAGCCGGAATCTCCGACCAAGAACGGTCTCTGAGACGGAACATAACCTGTCGGACTGGTTAATAAACCTAACCCGAAAATTAGCATTTAAGTAATTCTTAGCCTTCTTTATCTGTTAAGTTTTTCTTTTTATTTGGTAGATCTACTGACGCCTCTGACAACTCTTGCCTGTGAGTCGGAGGCGTTTATTAAATATTTTGTAAATCGATTAGATTTCTCCTACTTTGGCTTTCCTTGCTCAGAAAAGCTTTCGCTTGTCTTTGCATTCGGTCGTGTTTTTACTTAGCTCCACTTTTTATTAATTTTCACTTTAAATTCCGAGCTTTTTTACCATTTAAATAACTCACGCAGATACGGGCTCAATTCCCGCTTCGAGTTGTTATTAAATATCGCCTTGTGAAAGACCGGATTGCAGACCTATTGAAATGGAGATGCGAACGTTCATGGCTCAAACCAGGAATGGACTTAAGGATATAAATGATGACTTAAGATCGCTTGCCTCCAACTCCTCGACTCCTTTTTTAACGGATTACAACTGCTGTCTGAGTCTCCTAAAAGGAAAGATAATAATAGTTCTGGAGAAAAATAGTTTCGCATAAAAACATTTCTTGGAATTGACCGATATGGCAAGTTTGGGTAATTATTTTTGTCACCAAAAGCAGATTTTAGATTTTAGATTTTGGGCTTTCTTTAATTATTATTATTATTATTATTGTAGCCCGTAGGCTAAAAAAAGGTATATAAGGTTTCTCCAAAGTATGTAACAGGCAGAAGGAGGCATTATATATATTCTTAATCAGCATGTTTGTCCGTCTGTTTGTCTGCTTATATGAGTTCATAAGAAGCTACTGACACAACAAAGAAAACAATTGATTTTCTTTAATATATCATAATACTGGACTTGCAATTATACTTTTTTTTATGAATTACTAGTAACAAAATAATTATAGCGTCTTCGTAGACTAACTGCGTGTCTAATTAAGTGGAAAAATTTGTATTTTTTTAAAAGAAATTTTAATCAGCAGCTGCAGTCTCACTTCAGTTCTGTCTCTTACAATGCTGCGCTCCAATTTGGAACTTATCGCGATGTTAACGATTTTTATTATCTCGTGGTCTGCGTTGTTTTTACTTTATTCCGTTTTTAATTTGTACGCACCTTTCACAAACAAAACTATTGACCTGGATCCAATATTTCAACCTTACGGCAGAGCCCAGGATTTACTGCCAGCAGATTTCCAACCTCGTCCAAGTGAAGAGAAACGGGATTGGCACGATTATAAGGCTATGGAACAAGATGCCAAGCGTGTGGGTCTTGGTGAACAGGGAAAGGCAGCCAAATTGAAGAATTCGACTCGCGATTTACAGCTTAAGTTGAATGAGAAATACGGTTTCAATGCGCTGCTCTCCGACTCTATATCAGTTAATCGTTCCTTGCCAGATATTCGGCCTCCGAAGTGAGTTTATCAGAACCAATCACAACACAATATGCAATTTAATTTTCCCATAGCTGCAAAAAGAAACTGTATCTGAGTGTGCTACCCAAGGTGAGCATTATTTTAATTTTCTACAACGAGTACTTCAGCGTGCTGAAGCGATCTTTGCATAGTGTTATTAATCGCTCACCGCCTGAGTTGATTAAAGAGATTATACTGGTGGACGACTACAGTGATCGTGATCATCTCCACAAGCCGCTAGAGGACTATATAGCCGGCCATTTTACGAATGTGCGGATTATTCGACTACCTCGACGCATGGGTCTGATTGCCGCCCGAACTGCAGGTGCACGGAATGCGACCGCGGAGATTCTGGTCTTCCTGGACTCCCACATCGAAGCCAACCACAATTGGTTACCACCATTGTTGGAGCCCATCGCACTAAACAAGCGAATGGTCGTATGTCCCATTATTGATAGTGTTAATTATAACAATTTTGAACTAAGTGAGTTTAGACCTAAAGGCCATCGTGGTGCTTTCACAAGAGATTTGGCGTATGTAATTCTCGGGCTACTACCAGAAAACATAAAGTTTCCGAGCAAGCCTTATAAGAATCCTGTCATGATGGGTGGACTATTCGCCATATCGACACAATTCTTTTGGGAGTTGGGAGGTTACGACGAAGGTCTAGATATTTATGGTGGCGAGCAATTCGAGTTAAGTTTCAAAATATGGATGTGTGGAGGAGAAATGTATAATGTGCCTTGTTCTCGCGTGGCACACGTCTTTCCTAGTCCACACAAAAAACCGTACAACGTTCCAGCTGGACGATCGAATTATCTCTTTAAGGTAAGTTCCAAAAAGATGATGTATTGTACCCGTAGTCTTCGCAGTAGATTCGTTCAATCTTACCTTAAAGAAAATATTTTATAAATAAAATATTTCGACAGGGGCGTATGCAGCTTTTTCCAAAGGCTGGGACAAAAAAAATAAAATTTTGATTAAATAATGCATACTTCCTCAGTACAAATGTATCTAAGACATAGAAGTAAGTGTGCCAGACGCCACAAAGTATATAAGTTCTTGATCAGACGGGTCGGTATTGCCACTTTGTAGCCTGATTCTTCTTAGTCCGATAATGAACAAGATTGGGTTTTTTGGAATTCTTGGAATTTTTACAGAGCTCTTAAAATTTGATAATTACATCCGGGTTGTTATTATGTTCAGTCAGCGCCTATTGTTCAGTTTTATTGTGTTAGGCCAATTTTTAAGAAAGTATAGTTATTGATTTCAACTCTGCTCAAGCTCTACAGCATACATTAGCTGTTGTTGTTGTCGTTGGCTATAACTCTCTTTCAAATTAGACTATCATGATGCCACATAACCACTTACTGGAGGTATTTGCCAAATTTAATTGAGAGCTATAGAAAAGCAGTAATTACCCTGGAGAGAGGGAGGGAAATTCCGAAATGATCAAGAATATATATACTTTTTAGGGTCTGCGACACCTCCTTCTCGCTGTTCAATTTTTTACCTCCTGCAAACCTAATATACTTTTGCACCTTTTATGTACAGAGTACGATTTTGATTTTTAACTCTGCTTCAACAGAATTATAAACGGGTGGCAGAAGTGTGGATGGATGGATACACAAAATATATAAGTTGGTATTACGAAGCAGGTGATATCGACGTGGGTGATCTCACCAAACAAAAAGCGCTGCGATCCAAATTAAAGTGCAAATCCTTCGAGTGGTATTTAAAAAATGTCGCATTTGATGTTATAGGTGGATACCCTCCATTTATGTATGCCTCCGGTGCTATACAAAATTTGGGAGATGCTAATATGTGGTAAGAAATCTGATATATTTGGCTTGTACCTTATGCTCATTCAATGGGGTTTTTCCTAGTGTGGACGTGCTTAGACATGATTTTTTGCAGCCTATTGGCCTATATACTTGTGCCGAAAATTTGGTTTTCCCACAACTTCCGCAATTTTGGACGCTGACTCCACATTGGGAATTGTATATGCATAACAATTTTATGTGTCTGGAGGTCCGCACCTTGAAACGCAATGCGCCAGTGTGGCAAAAACCATGTCACAGAAAAGGGGGAAATCAGTTCTGGAACTACGATTACAAAAGCAGACTTCTGAAGAATCGTGAGGACGGCAAACGTTGCCTCGAGATGTTGCCGCTGAACAAAACGGTGGTCGTCAATGCGTGCAACAAAAGCAATATATACATGCGGTGGAATATTGGTTTTATCAATCGAACAGCCCTCCAAAACATCAGCTACACATAATTTATGGAATTTAATGTAAGACGTTTTATTAATAGGATTTTAGCTTCATAAAAAGAAGTACCATTACCACAAATACCATTATAAGATGTATGATTATGTGTCTCATAAAAAGTATCTGATCTTAGCAATAGTTCTGTTTTAATCGACGGACTGACAATACAAGTATAATTAGATATTAATCAATGAATAAACAAGAATGGAATGCTAGGATCGAAAGGCCCAAAATCTTATACAGCCTGTGTCCACTCTAAAAAAATATGTTTTAATTATTTTCTTTTTAATCTAATTAAATGCTTCGGAAAACATGAACTTGATCTGCCTAAGTCATGGGGAACCTGGAAAATAAGTTTGGGTATTTCAGCTCTTATAAAAATGAGACAAATATTTTATTGTAACACATAAATATTTATTGATCTCTGCCATTGAATCACTCTAGTTTCTTTATAAATTTGCTGATTAAGTGCAAGCCAATTTATTTACAGCAAACACTGTTAGATTTACTGCAATAATGAGGAAAACGTCTAACAAAAATCCAATTTTCTTAAACACTCCATTTAAGGGAGAAAAAAATATATAATATACGATTATAGGCTTTACAAGTTGTAGGCTTATTAAATACCTGTTTAAAATGTGCATGTCTATCAAATCCATAATATAGCCATAATTAAACAACTTGGTCCTTATATTCTCGGTTTCTATTTTTTGCTTTCAAAATGTTCTTCTGCATTTCAAAAACTTTTTGCTTTAGTTCAAATAAGTTTGACTTGTTAGGAATTACACAATTGACTGTGGATTTGTGTGTTTCTCTTGTTCGATTTGGTTTGCTCAACTAATGTAGCCCTGGAAAAAAGAAACATCATTGTTTCGTAAATATGTCCTGTTATTATCCGTTTAAGAATTAATGACATCATGTATCGATGCTAATACCAAGTATACAGCGAATATCTATTTATATTTTTTAACATGTTTACAAGTACATATGTATATTTGGTTGGTATATATGCATATCTTGTTATAAGTACTTTTCGAGTTCTACTTCAGCCCAATTTAAGCAAAACGGAAAATAGTAACTCCACGAGTATATTCAGTCGATGCGACTTTCACAGAAAGAGTACAAATGTGTCTAATCAGGCGTAAAAATAGTATTATTTTATTAAATTTAGATCTGTAGCTGCAGTCACTTCAGTTCTGTCTAAAGTCGAGCATCGGGGCGAAACTAAAACTAACCGATCGTTTTTGTTAAAATCTAAAAAAAAAACCAAACGCAATGCTGCGCGATTTGAAAATTATCGCGATGTTAATAGTTTTCATTATCTCGTGGTCTGCGTTGTTTTTACTGTATTCGGTTTTATATTTGTACGCACCTTTCACAAACAAAACTATTGATCTGGACCCAATATTTCAACCTTACGGCAGAGCCCAGGATTTACTGCCAGCAGAATTCCAACCTCCTCCAAGTGAAGAGAAACGGGATTGGCACGATTATAAGGCTATGGAACGAGATGCCAAGCGTGTGGGTCTTGGTGAACAGGGAAAGGCAGCCAAATTGAAGAATTCGACTCGCAATTTACAGCTTAAACTGTATAAGAAATACGGTTTAAATGTGTTGCTCTCCGACTTTATATCAGTTAATCGTTCCTTGCCAGATATTCGGCCTTTGTAGTGAGTTTGTCAGTTTTTTGAGTTGTTTGTTGTGATTCGATACAACAAAATATGCAATTTCATTTTCCCATAGCTGCAAAAAGAAACTGTATCTGAGTGTGCTACCCAAGGCGAGCATTATTTTAATTTTCTATAACGAATACTTGAGCGTGCTGCAGCGCTCTCTGCATAGTTTAATTAATCGCTCACCGCCTGAGTTGATTAAAGAGATTATACTGGTGGACGACTACAGTGATCGTGATCATCTCCACAAGCCCCTAGAGGACTATATAGCCGGCCATTTTACGAATGTGCGGATTATTCGACTACCTCGACGCATGGGTTTGATGGCCGCCCGAACTGCAGGTGCACGGAATGCGACCGCGGAGATTCTGGTCTTTCTGGACTCCCACATCGAAGCCAATCACAATTGGTTACCACCATTGTTGGAGCCTATTGCACTAAACAAGCGAATGGTCGTATGTCCTGTTATTGATAGAATTAATTATACAACGTTTGAAATGAGTGATGTGTGGCCTAACGGCCACCTAAGTGCCTTTACATGGGATCTCACCTATATCTTGTTGTACCGAGAACACGAATACGCAAAGTTTCGAGGCGAACCTTTTAAGAATCCTGTCATGATGGGTGGACTATTCGCCATATCGACACAATTCTTTTGGGAGTTGGGAGGCTACGACGAGGGTCTGGATATTTATGGTGGCGAGCAATTTGAGTTAAGTTTCAAAATATGGATGTGTGGAGGAGAGTTGTATGATGTACCTTGTTCACATGTTGCGCACGTCTTTGCTAATCCAAACATAGATCGCTATAATGTTTTAAATCTTAATAACTATTGGATCAAGGTAAGTATGAATTAAAACATTCGTTGCACTCCTACAGCTCTTATATATAAAAACCCGACAAAATACATTGACTTTAATTTCCAAGTGGCTTTTTAGCGGGATTGTGGTATAAATACAAAGTATAAGTACTTTTAATGTCAATATTAATACAAGTAGATACTGATAAACGTGAAAATTAAAAAAAAAAAAGTGTGGAAAAACGCTTTCTAATAAAAAATGTTCTACAGGTATATAAAACCATATACAAGTATATAATATATACATTCACTAAACATCATTATTAGTCTGATGTCCCGACTTTTAAATACTCTGTATGTGTAGAAAGAAAATTAAAGAAGTATACAAATTTGGCATCGATTTTACCTCCTCTGATATTCGAACTCAAATATAATTACACATATACATAGGAAGTGTGTCTATGTCAGTATAAAATTGAGCCAAAGTAGCCACAATAGCCACATTTGCGGGCTGCAATTTGTGTCAAAAATTCCAAAAATTCAAAAAATTTAAAAAATTACGGAAGTTATGGAAATTCACAAATTGTGTGGGAGGGGGGGAGGCATCTTACAATACAATTTGGTGTCTCAATCTCTTATAGTATCTGAGATCCAGGTGTTCATACGGACGGACAGGCGGACAGACACTACCCGAATCCCCAATATACTCATGCACAAAAATTACATTTTCAATCGTGGAATATAAGGACAGTGCGCTAAATAGAGTTTAAGATATTATATTACATACGTTATATGAAACGACTTGTTATAAAAAATCAACATTTATCAGTAAAGTTATATATAAACTAATATTTCGTCCTTAAAACAATCTGGCAATCACTGGGATATGAGAGTGGAATGTGTATTTTATTTATAATAGAAAATTGACTTTTATTTAAAGCTATTTTAATGTACAGATATATGAACACTTACTATTTTCTGCACTTACAGAATAGGAAACGGGTGGCAGAGGTGTGGATGGATGATTACAAAAAATATATTTCTTGGTACACAAAATTTAAAAATTTCGACGTTGGGGATCTGTCTAAACAAAAAGCTTTGCGATCTAAATTAAAATGCAAATCCTTCCAGTGGTACTTGAAAAATGTGGCATTTAATATAATGTTAATGTACCCCCCTTTCGATATGCCAAATTATGCCTCCGGGGCCATACAAAATTTGGGAAATCCACACATGTGGTAAGACTTAGTCATCTTTTGTTTGCAGATCATAGGCTCGATTACATTTGGTTTTTTAATAGCGTGGACTCTCTTCGACGTAATATTTCGCAGCCTATTGGCGTTTATCCTTGTGCCGATAATTTGGTTCGCCCCCAAAAACCACAGCATTGGGCGGTCAACTTCCAATCGGAATTGCGAATGCCTAGAACAAAAATGTGTCTGGAGGTCCGCACATCGCAACGTAATGCGCCAGTGGTGCAGTGGCATTGTCACGGGATGGGCTCAAATCAGTATTGGTACTACGAATTTAAGACCAGGCTTCTGAAGTACCGTAAGGATGGCGCCCGTTGCCTAGAGATGTTGCCACAGAGCAAAGCGTTGGTCGTCAATACTTGCAACAAAACCAATATATACATGCGTTGGAATTTTGGTTATATCAATCGGACGGCGCTTCTAAACTTCAATAAAAACTACACATATAATTTATGGGATGCATTGTAAGGCGTGGCAATACTAGGCTTTATAATATTAGTAAAAATTAGATAGATAAATGTGTTGTAATTATAATAGGGCACATTACACATAAACAAACAAAAATCTTACATTTTTATAGCCTGTACCCAAAGGGTGAAAGGCTATACTAGTTTTGTGCGCATGTATGTAACACACAGAAGGAGGCGTGGCAGACCCCACAAAGTATATATATTCTTGATCAGGATGAGAAGACGAGTCTATATAGCCATGTCCGTCTGTCCGTCTGACCGTCTGTCCGTCTGTCTGTATGAGCGCAAGGATCTCAGTAAGTACAAGAGCTAGGATAACCAAAATTGGTATCAAGGTTCCTATAAGCCCTAGGCAGAACGAGTTTGTTTATTTTTTCTGATACACCCCCCCACTCCCCCGCAATTCGTATTTTTTCTTATAACTTCCGTAATTCTCGGAATTTTGAAATCAATTTTGGTAGGTACATCCAGTTAGTACTAATGTGTCCGTGTGCCAAATTTCATCATGATAGGTCAACTCTAAAGAAAGTTATAGCCATAAGTAAAATCGCTGCTCATGCGCTGCCTCTGTCGGCAGCGCTGCCCGCAGCTGTTGTTGTTGTTGCTGCTTTGGTTTAACTTTGTGCTGCATACATACACGCATATAAACACGCATAGGTACGTGATGTAAATGTATGCTGTTTAAACTGAACATAAACATGTATTCTAATTTAATTTAATTAATTATTTTAATTAATTAATTCATTAATTTTTTTTAATAATTTAATTTTTTTTAAATTTTTTTTTTTTTAATTTTTCCTTTTTGTGGAGAGTACAGGCTATTTTACTGTC